CTAGGCGGCCAAGCTATTGGTCCACCGTGACCTATCCACCTCCCGGGGTATTGTTCGTTTGGTTTTTCTCGAACGGCTCTTGCAAAATGGCATAGGGCTCCGTCCATTTCATAAAACATCTGTGTTCTTAATAAAATATTTACGTCACCTAAAAGAGTCGGCAAATGCCGTTGGACGAAATTCAAATACTTCTGTCCGTCCATTCACATTATCTGGCAGCTCGAAGGGCCCAACCAGCTCTCTATGTAGTATTCCCGCCCAGAGATTTACCGAGAATTGCATTTGAAAACTGTGGCGGCGAATCTTATGTGGATTTACTCTTGCATAAGAATGATAATTATGCATGTTAAAAATGCCATTTCTTGTAAATTTGGACTCATTAAATGATAAAGACTCCCTCCTTTAATGATAAAGCCCTTACATTGCCTCCATGGTATAGTGGTTATTGAATAGTAATAGTGTGATAAAATTACTGTTTTTCCCATCAACAGATCTCAATTTACCAGATAAACTCTATACCAGGAAAACTCGCTCTTTCTTTCCAAAAAAAACATCTGCATAAATAGTATTTATTCTGTTTAACAAAATAAAATTAAGCATTAAAGCTAAGAAATAAAATAAGGTTCTCAAAACAATTATTAGTTGTATGGGGTGCTAATACTGCTAGTTATCTAAATAAAAAAAGCTTTTGATACTGTCTCTATCCTCATTGAAATAATATAAAAGCTGTTGGATATATCGTATACCCTAGGTATATGTATATAGATACTTATCTTTTGAAAGTTACATTGAAAATTCAAAAATACTATGTTGAGGGACACCACAAGGCACCAAAAAATTATATTCTAGCTGTTATAGTTAATACTGCTAGTATATTATTTTTGGTGACTTGTGTCCCTCATGATAGTATTTTTGGACTTACACTGTTTTATTATATCAATGAGTTGTGTTTAATGAAAGGTTCATACAAGAACACAAACAACAAAATTATTTTTAATGCCAATGACCAATCCTCTTGGTATCAGAAGACAACTGGGCAAATTTTTTTAATGCTGCCTAAAGCACTCTTAAAGTTGTTTACAAATATTTGATGGTATGATTGTCTCACTGAGTGAAAAACATATTGACTGAATAATTATAATTAGGAAAATTAATTGAAGAGAGGCAGGGCATAGCGAATTTCCCGCTCAAGTAGGGTATCAGGGGTCAGGGAAGGTAACGGTCAGAGTGATATTTTTGGCATCGCAAGAGTCATCATAGGCTATGTTGGCAGCTTACCACGAGACAGGCCATACGTCTTGTTTTACATAAAAAACGGGCATGTGCTGTTCACCTGCGATAGAAATTAAACGTACAAAAAAGTGAATACTGGGCAAAATGAAATATTTTCTATACTTAAATTGTTTCGAGAAATAAGTAATAGCTTAATAAAAGAAAAAAAAAATAAGAAATAACCGAGTTCAGGATCGAACCACCGATCATTTGGTGTCGACCCCCAAGACCGTTACCGTTCGGCTGTCTGTCTCTTGCAGAGAGTTACAAAAGTACGGATACCTTGTGTCAAATACTGTCGCTTTTTTGTTTCATCGATTTTCAATCACAACGGGGCTAAAGAAGATTTCACTTAAAAAAATTAAAACTGAAAAAATATTCTTCTTTTCTTGTATATTAGTGTAATATAACACTCATTAGGGAAATAAACGTGTTTTTGGATATCCTGTGAAAGTAACCTAACTAATCGTGTAGGTTACTGTGGTCTTTATTTTTTTTACTATCTACTTCATTCTACACGTTTCTATGATAGTTTTTTATAATTTCAATATTAAGGTGATATTACAAAATGAAATTTATTCCATTAGTGTAATTACTAATATTCTAAAAGATAACGAATTAATCTGTCTGTAATTTTGCAATAAGCTTTTCATTTCTGAAAGTATAAAGAAGAGTATGTTTACTTAAAAAAATATGTGCTTAAAAAAGTTTAAAAAAACAACAATCATTGTACCGTATTCTATTACTGAATATTACAATACTTTACATTAAAAAAAACATAGAAAACATGCCATACAACGACCTGATGTTATGAGAGGTAATAAATAGAGAGTTGTCGAAAAGCGCGCGGCGAGGTCGCTAGGTGCATGCTACTATGAATGAAAAGGTACACCTGAGGCAACCACAGTGTTTACTTGCACTACGAATATCGCCCTTGTTCCGACAAAAAGAAGGTTTGTCTAATGTCAGATTGTAACCAGTGACGTGGCCCCGGCTGTACCAAGAAACGCAAGCTACCACACAACCCAAATACCGCGCATTCTTGCCACCGCTCCACGTGCGCAAGCTCTTCTCTTACCGCACAGCTATGCCGCCAGAAATAATTTGCTTAGCTTACATACCTTAAGGAACTTTTTCATCTATTTACCGCTTAGGGTGGATAGTATTTAGCCGCTCCATATACTGAACACCTTTATCCGATGCTAACTTAGCTTTTGTTTTTTGTTTATTTCTTACGTTTATTGAACAAGTTTAAACTCAGTTTGAATTTGTAGTTAAAAACCGAGTTTACAAAACGTCGAGATAGTCTTATATATTTATTTAGTCTTAAAGCAGCATTGTAATGTTTAGTTTAACTTTTTTTTATTGCAAGTTGCTTCGGTACTGGGTGAAACGTAAAAATTTAAATTATTTTCTTACGACAAGTGCTCATAGAGTATAGTATAACCTACATTATAATGAAGGTACTTATTCCATGTTGAATATATTAAAATATCGCTAAGTTTATTCTGTTTGAAGTGAGCGAATATTTTGACATCTCTACTTTCACAGGATGACTGAGAACGCTTTGAATAGCGAAAGCAAAGAATTGGAAATTCTTAAAAGAAAGGTGAAATTTAAAGGACATGATACTTCTTAGTATTTTTAAAATAACATAGGATAAAGGACGGTCTTCAATGTTTCCTAGTTAAATGACACCAAAGTATAATAAAATCTATAAACAAAAATGTAAATGAATCCTCAAACATTGTAGTTTTGTTTTTTATTTTATCAACGTTAGTTTGAGCCGTGAAGTATTGTACTTATTACAGATGATGGGTTGGCTACTAGTTTCATTTAAAATCTAAAAAAATATTAATCGGAAATAATTTCGGACACCATCTTAGATACTATACGATCTAAAAATAGTACTCACACTGTTGGAAATGAGAATCTTAACAAAGTCATTTTATACCTCTGACAAATAGTAAACCTCTACTAACACAGCAAAGGATATTTCGTTCAACTTGTATGCATGTATGCTCCAGTACTTGAGTGTTGACAATTCATTGAAATATATTATATACTAAGCAAACAAGTCCAGAAAGTTGAATAACAATTTTCCGAAAAAGTGATTCAACCGTTAAAGTAAGATTGAATCGGTATTCGTGACGTTTCTCGGTAGAAAGGTTACATTTATTCATCAGTAAAACCTGTCCTATTAGTCACCAAAATAAGTTTTGCCTATATCACTTCCGAATTATAACATACCTATTCAAAGTTATTTTTTGTAGAAGTGCCCGTTTCATTAGTCACATCAAATCTATGCTCATGATCGGTATATCAAACTATTAAAACATGTATTAAGTTTTCTATAAAAAAAAACAAATGCGTACACACAACTTAAACTACACATTAGTGAGATATATTATAATGAAATTCAATATTCTCAAATAAGCTTTTGAGGTTAATAACTATAGTGACATATAAAAAGAGGAGTCTATTCTTTCGGTCGGTTCCCACGTTATTTTTTGTGGAGTACCTCGATAAGGGGAATAAGGTACCCTTTCTTAGACCAACGAGAGATCGTGGGGCCTTATTTATTGCTAATAGATTTCCGAACGGTAAATATCTATGCATGTATAAAGGGCGACCCGACCCACTTAATGCAATGGAACGCAGTCACTATTATTCTGTTAAGATAAAAAAAATTAATAGTGTTAACGTTTTTTATAAAACAACATAAAAGCGGTATAAATCAAGAGGCCTGTCCTAAGTGTAAGGTTTATAAAAAAAATTTTTTTTACTTAATCAAGATTATATTTAGCAAATAAATTTTTATCTATCAAAACACAGAATAATAGATTTGTTCCTTATATTTCTACACACGATAATATACTGAAAGTAAAACACTTTAAACCGGATGCGCGTTTACTAAATTTGTTTTTGTTTAATTCTTGAAGTTTCAGATCCTCTTCAGGAGTTGTGGTCACAAGACTTAGTTTACGTTAATTACTCTTACTACTCTAATTAGTGAGAATATGAGAACAATATATTTTTAATAAATTGGGGCTAGTTAACGTCTTAAAATATTTAACCGGTACGTTTTCATAACACTGCCAAAAATTTTGTTGACTAATTTAAATACTTTAATATAATTTTTTCTCTCTCATAAGTAATTATAATACATCCTTTGAGATGTACTAGGTGTGTATATATAGTCGTTGATTGTAAATTATTCGATGACTCAGACCACAAATTCGACATGCTCACCAATCGGCTATGGCGGTTGTTGGTTTCTTTGTAATTAGGAAGGAAGGAGCATATTGAATTTGCATTGGTTGGCACGTTTGATCTGCGTTCTTGCAACTTTCGTTATAGTTCAAGATCCCGCCGCTCGATTACGCAGTCATCAGTTTTGTTGAAGAATTTAAAAATTCATAGTTGCCAGCTCTAATTCAGCTGCAACTTTAGGATTGCCGGGTGTAAGCAGGTACATTAATGTTGATTGTTTTTTGAGAGCTGGCAACTATTGTTTTTGAATTGTTCATATCGTTTTCTTCAAATTACGTAAAATTTATTAAAAACATATGGATGCAAATTCAGAATCGAGCAGCATGATCTTGAACTATTATGGCTGTTCATGGGATTGGCGACCAAAAATTTATGATAAACTGGCTTTTTCCAGAGCTTGGGGTACTGATGATGAGGATAATTATTTAATTTAGTCAAAAATTTCACCTGCGCAGGTGCGGTTGGAGCGGGCGACGCAAGCGGGGTGACCGGAGTGACGCGGCGAGGCCGCTGCAAGTGGTTCAACGTAGCTAAGGGTTGGGGGTTCGTAACACCCAATGATGGCGGACAAGACGTTTTCGTACACCAGGTACGTATATCTTTTTCAATATGCCCAGATACATGGTTTTTGATATGGAGTTCATATTTATTTATCAATGCTGGACCATTTATCATTTCAAAGCTTAGTTATTGTTTTGATTGTTAAAGAAAAACAGAATTAAATTAATCTGCGCAGGAAAGGAGTGTTTTGATTAAAAAAAACAATGAGAAGTAAGAAGAACAAATAAATACACACATCAAAAGTGTCTAGGGATCAAGCATTTTTATGCGGATTTCTTGAGATTGAGATGTGGCTTTGTAATAAATTTATGATTTTATAAATTTATATGGATCCTTTTTGGTGCATTTCATAATTTGAATCAGGAACTGTGAATCAAATTCGAGTAAAAGATGAAAATCAGCTGTCAATATTTTCCCTATAAAAACATACAACGCATTGAAGACATTATTAGTGCTACTGTTTCCCTACTACTGATTAAAACCAACGTTATTATGGAGCGGCGACGTCATTTAAGCAGGGAAGAAATGCTCAGAGCCGTGGGAATGATAGAAGCTGGTTCCCGGCAACGTACTGTGGCTTTAGCTCTGAATACAAGTCAGAGTGTTATCAGTCGACTTTGGACACGATACCGAAGCACTGGTACCGTGGCTGAGCGCCATGGAGGACGGTATCGCTGCACCACACGGAGACAAGACCGATACATTCAAATCTTAACTCGAAGAGCTCCAACAATAACCGCCATGATGTTAGCCGTGAGGCTTCATCACTCTTCAGGGAACTTAATTAGCGACCAAACAGTCAGAAACCGCTTGCATGAAGTGAACCTTCATTCCCGAAGACCGCTACGGGTACCACCTATAGCAATGCACAATCGTAGGATTCGATATCAATGGGCTCTTGAACACAGAAATTGGGCAGAAGAACAATGGCGTTTCGTGTGCTTTTCTGATGAGTCTCGTTTTGGTATGAGACCGGATACAAGACGTATACGACACTGGGGAACCCCTGGACGCCAACAGCGATTAAAAACCTGCCAGGAAGTCCATCCTTATAGTGGTGGAACCATCATGGTATGGGCGGGTATTTGGATCGGCGGAAGAACTGAGTTGATTTGGATCAGAGGCAACCTCAACGCTCAAATTTATGCTGAGACGATTGTATCAGACGTCATCGTTCCTCTACAAGTGCAAATCGGTCCCTTATTTCAGTTAATGCATGATAATGCACGACCGCACACCGCAAGAGTTGTAAGACAGACTCTCGCCGCAGCTAACATCAATGTCCTGCCCTGGCCTGCTCAGTCGCCAGACTTGAACCCGATTGAGCATGCATGGGATATGCTACTGAGAAGAGCTCTGCCGAATATGGAGGGTATCCAGTCGCAAGAAGACCTTTTTTTGTTGTTGCAACGAACATGGGCGGCCATTCCACAGCGTGATTTGGATGAACTCATTTTGAGTATGCCAAACCGATGTTCTTGTGTTGTTAGTGTTCGCGGTAGAAATACGGATTATTAATTGTTTAAGTTACCCAATAAAATTTTAGAGAAAACTGTTATTTCAGTCTTTTTTTCGAACTTTTGTGTTAGTGGTTCAAATGTCAAAAATCCCTTTATTAGGAAAATGGCAAATTTCTTTATTAATGCAAAGGTGACTTGGTTTATCGTTACTGTGACAAACGAAAACACTTTATTTGATGAATCCTTAAAGAAAATTTTAATTAATATCAATCAGGAGAAAAGTTATTGCAAAAATATATGTTGATCCCTAGACACTTTTGATGTGTGTATATTTAAAACTAGGCTATCCAGGCATCTTTGATAAGAAAGAATTAATAGTTTAAAAACAGGAATTTGGCTATTTTTGGTGTTAATTTTGCTTTCAGCACAAACATGTTTGTCACTCAAAAATTGAGAATTTGTTTGCATATGTAATTAGAAAACCATGTATGGATGTTGCACCGGTGGAGATTTTACGACTGCCTCAACCGCATTCTTGGGATCTCATCAAGCACGTGGGATTTTTCATCGGCATGCATTGAAATTCATTCTAAATATTTGTGATAGTTGAATACCTAGGTTTTTAGTACAATTACGAAAAGTATGTGTAAAAATAAAATTTTCAACACATTTGCTCAAAAAATGCATTTACGAAGGTTGAGTATACATTGTTCGAAAGTTCAAAATTACGGGCCACACAACTGAGCGTGTGGTAAAACATTTTACCGCAGGCTCCCTTACATAGTGCCGTGCGTATCCTTTATGTTTTTTTTTATTTCTATCGAAATTGGAAGCGCTTTTAATCTATACCTTAGTCTCACTTAAAATACGCGCAATTTTCTTATTATAAAAAGGTTTGCTGCATTACTTAAAAATTAACTGTTTTCTCGAGATTGTGTTGAAAAACGTTGTATGACATTCGTGCGGAATTGGTATTAACAAACTCGTGACTATGGTAAGCTCTCGACTCGCCAACTTACCGGACTTATATCATAAATAACTATTCCTATTGTACCTGTGACTTCCATTTTTTATACTCAATGTTGTTTCGAAAAAATACAACTTTGTACTGTGAGTTAAACAATACATTTGTATTTTACAACTTTGATTGGATTCATACATTTTAAAATTATGAAGTTACTATAATTAGAAATTGTCTATATAATAAGTTGTTAATTAATAAGAATGAAATACATCTTAAGCTATCAAAGCTCTCAATCGAATTTTTGTCGGAACAAATATACTTACCATCTCGAAAGATGCACTGCTTAATACTACTGACTACACAAGTAAAAACTATACAGATTCTCTTATATCAGGTATATTCCTGATGTCCAGTCGATGTTGAGTTTTGCTTTATATAGTTCCGATCACATCTATCGACCCACCTAGCAATTTAAGTTTTGACGGTTCCTAGTTAAAAAATAATGTTACATTGTGGAAAAAGTTATTACCTACGCAGTTTTGAAGCTGATATATTAACCATCTTTTCGTGTGTTTTTAAAATTACTGCTCAAACATAATAGTAGTTTATGCGACTGTCATATAAGAAGGGATATTAAAACACGAAAGTCTGTTTATCTTTAATACCTGCAACTGCATATATGCAGCTAATAGCTACATTTATGCAGTTGCATACACTACTGTATCTTCACATACAATTGAAATGAAACAAAGTAACAAATAAAAGAAGTATTTTGCACAACTTTTCTGAAATCTATATAATTTTGATTACTGTTTGCTTTGCGAGTTTCACAAAAGTCACTTCAACATCTCGAAAATATTTGAATTCCTAGTATCAGCATCTCTAGTGACGTTTAATTATGAACTTCCTTAGAGGATCAGATTTAATTGGCGTCCAGGAAATACAGTCAGTATTCTATAGATTGAGACTATAGTTCTGTTTGGGCAGGGCAAATACTGTTTTTGTGTAAATTGCAGGGCAAACTCCATTGGTCAAATCGGTTCAAAGTCACTCTTTAAGATTTTATGGCTATCTATAGTTTTCAATGTATGCCCTTGACCCAAGGAAATGTGATATTTTTTTGTGTAGGTTAATAATAAATGCTGAGAAAGGATCGATTCGACGAGTCTACTATGTAAACTAACCAATGCGAATTATTCGATATAGCCATGGGTAAAATATCGAAATTAGAAATAGGATTTTATGAATATTATTTTAAAGTCAACGAATTAGATCAATTTAATTTGGAGATGGCACAAATTGGACACCTGTCCATTAATGTGTTGAATTGTATTATTGCAGGTTCACCCCATAATTGGTAAGATTCTCTGATAAAGTCTAAAAAGTTCTATAGCGTCCGGTTTTAACAGGGCGTACGACTTTGTGCCTTTGTATAAGTGCGTGTTTTTATAATGAAACCAATGACGAATATTGCGTGTCGTTCAATGCTATATTTTATTGTAACTTCTGACGAACTCCCCGCTATTGCGCATTAGTTTTTGTATTGGCATAGGTCTTTAATAAGTTCGAGTAGTAGTTCCTAGCCCAACAGTGTAATAATAGTACTTACTCTATTCAGTATAGTAGAGTTGTATCACTCCTACGGGGAATATATATCGTTGTAACTAATAGAAAAGCGAAATCATTCACAAAAATGAGTGATATCTAGCAGTTGACCCGATAGAGCGCTTATTTGTTTGTTCGGCTTATCAAGGCCGGATGTTTTTTCCATACATTTACGCCACCAAGTTTGTACTTCGTTCGGTTGCAGCGTGCTGCTACGCGAGCAGTAAAATTTATATTAGGTCAAGAGTATAATGTTGGTTACGATAAAGTTCCTATTTGTCAATAAGATGTGTTGTTTAATTGATATTCTAAATAAGAACGACGATAATTTTATTAAGTTATTTGCGATTGTGTAATCATGTTTTTCAATTAAAAACTTGGGGTTTTACAGCAAGCATCAATACTAAAAATAGTTCATTCACCAATATCACTAGCATGCGATGATGATATATTTTTTTTAGGTAGTAGTGAGTATACATTGAGCATGTACCCAAAGTTGGGGTATTGCTTATTTTATTAGTTGGCATAGTACTGTAGGAAAAAACTTTTAGTAAAATCCCCACTTCTCACCACGTGAACGCATACATGACTAATGGATACAAAAGATTGCACAAATAGTTGGTACCAGATTTTATGCGTATTCTAAACATCGGAGAAGAAAAAATGCATTTTAAAAACATTTGTTTTTTGGAATGGACAATGCATCTCCGCAACCAAAAATTAATGTCGCTTAACATTCCATACCCTTACTACTGAATGTTATGTATGACTTTTTAATTGCAGCAATAAAATTTAATGAACTAAAGTAGTGTATAATAAAACACAAAGTTCAATAACAATGTTTATATAACGCCTAGATATTAAAGAATTTTACTTAAAATATCAAAACTATATCTCACGATTCATAAAAATACATTCTATTTAATGCCATTACAAACTCCACATAAATTTTATTATAATATCAAAACTATATCTCACGATTCATAAAAATACATTCTATCTAATGCCATTACAAAATTCACATAAGATTTTACTATCTTTGCAACTGTTTCTTTATGTACATCCTACGGTTAGTTTCAATATTTAACTCCAGTAAGAGATAGAGGCGTGTCATATTTTTGTTGCCTATATAAAAATAATAACTGTTGCTAAGAAACAAATCCAGACTAAGCTTACCTATTACTGGACGTTAATTTTTGAAATTGGCCGTTAGTTACGTGAGAACTTACTTTTTATGATGTTGTTCTGATGTTTTATTTAAATCCTTAATAGTCTAGTTGACTCATGTCGAATTGTATTAAATAAATGTTTATTTCTTAAAGTATTTGGTCTAAGGAACCTAAATATATCGATTTCACTCCATAAAAGCAGAAGATTAATAATAATAATAATAATCATTTATTCATAACTAAGATTGCTGTAGAAATTTAATTTTAAAAAATCGTTTTAGTCTATATTTTTTAAACACTAAAAACGCTGTTTGCCATATCCGCCATGATTGTGACGACTCTTTAGTAGTAAACAACTAAATGTCATTCATACATAACCTTAAAACTTGTATTATTAAAACTGATAAAAAAAGGAAGAGATTTAAAATATTATTCAATGAGTATTTACATCAAAGTGATCTTCGCAAAAATAAATTTTACTATGAGTATGAGTCGATAAAGTTGCAGGATCCCTTTTAGCAAGTTCTAACCAGGTATTGCGTAGGTTAATTTCTTTCGGCACTTTAATCCGCAATTTTCCTGGAGTCTTCAAGGATGTGTATTTAAATTCTCGTACAATAAAATAATCATAATTACTATATTTTTCGTGGTATTTATTAGAAAACATGTTTTTTTTTTTATAAACTCAGATAGGTTATTTTCTACGTGCTTACGAGTTTTTGTTTACTACCGGTAGACATCATAGCATAGATAATCTATAGACTAAAATGGCCGACAGCGTTTTTGTATGTCCATGAAAAGTCTATTTTAAAATTAAAGATTTGCAGCTTTCTAGGTCTCAAAAAAATACAATACATTTTTTTTCGGTCTAATAGAACATTTATTAACCATTTAAAACATTTTTCCAAAAAGGGTCAACTAGCCTATTCGAATAAACTAAAGCAGTTTAGATTATTCAGTAATATTACTTTAGATTCGTTATGACGTGGTCTTAAATATCAAAATTACTTAGTTTTTTTTGACAGAACGAGTTTGCGCTAACCTCCATCGCATCTGATGGAAAACTAGATAGGTACTTGGATTTAATGATGAACTGTATCAAAAAATAAACCTCATTCAATATAAATATCATTAATTTCAGAGCGTGATCCAGATGCCAGGCTTTCGTTCCCTGGGAGATGAGGAAGAGGTGGAGTTTGAGTGTAAGGAGTCCGATAAGGGGCTCGAGGCGACTCGTGTCTCCGGGCCCTCGTCCGTCGATTGCCAAGGATCACACCGACGCCCGCTTTCCAAGAAACGCTTCCGAAAGATACGGTAATGTCTCCAATAATCCGCAAATGGAATGCTTTGTCCCCTCATATGTTGCCTCCCTTCTACAACCCGGGAAACTTTAAGAGAGGCGTGAAGAAGCAACTTGCAACCGTAGATCGCTGGTGTAGTAGGTAAAAATACCGTGTCAGCTAACTTTCCTTATGGACTCCATCAGGTGGGGTGAAACCATCTGTCGGGCTAAATACAATAGTATGCTTAGTGATCGGTAGTCTTTTAGTTTTTGTTCTTTTCTTAAGATTTCTCATGCTTTACACAACTTCGCGCATATTTGGAAGTCAAATAAGAGCAACTGCACATTTAGCCACTAGTCGCGGCCACTAAACCTGACGCCCAGTGGCTCAGTAAAGTCACTAGACGCAGCCACCAATCGCAACCTTTGCCCGCGCACGTGTTCCCTCCTTCCTACAATCTGGGGTCCTTTAAGAGAGGCGTGAAGAAGTATTTTTGCAGGCCGGCAAGGTGAGGATGGTTTTGTAGTAGTTACAAACTGCTGTACCAGCTACCTTCGCTTTTGGACTTTATCACCACTTAACACCAGGTGGGGTAGAGTCATTTGCCTACCTCGCTATAAAAAAAAACCGCTGGTGGCTTAGTGGTGGCCATTACGTGCCACCACTTTTAGCTGAATTCCGTTCATTTCCGACGAGAACTTCGAGTAAACTTGTTGCGAAAGGGAAACACTATTGATGTCGTGGTTATGACTCTTATGATGGGACGGAGAAAGTCTCGTCAAATTCTAAACCATCGACATAAAATTCGATGGTTTTAATTTCGACGTGGTACTGTGATTTTCATTAGATTCACTCATCTTGACAGTATGAAAAACAGATGAAAATAACACATTTTTCAAATTTAAATTTGGAATTCTCTTCTTTAAAATTTAAACTTTTAATGATACCAAAACCCGCCAGATAAAATGGTACAGCCAAAGAGATTTTATTACTAGTTCATACATCATACATATATCAATTTTCTGGAATCGCAGCCCTATAGAACTGTGATTTATCAGACGTCAACTTGTAGTTTCTGTTTTAATTGATTTATAAAACAATATTTTGAGTTTCGAATGAAAGTGAAGAAGAAATGAAAAATGAAAGAAATTCGAAATCTTTTTTAAATGAACAATTAAAAAAAAAACAACATTCTTTATCTACGAACTCATATCAATTTGATTTCAAATGTTCACAATGATTTAAAAATGAATTAAATTAGTTTTCGTTTTTGTTTATACTGAGATTAAATTATTTATTTTCCTTTATGATTTCCAGTTGCTACAACTGTGGGGAGTTTGCAAATCATATAGCGGCAAAATGCAGTATCGGACCGCAACCAAAGAGATGTCACAACTGCAAGAGCGAAGACCACCTCATTGCCGACTGCCCCATAAAGGTATAATTATAAAATAGTATAAACTTTAAGAAAGTAATTTATTTAGTAGAGTAATATTTCAATTATCTTCATTGTTATCTTATATTCATCTTCTTCGATTCTGCCGTTTTATTTTTAGCTCTGTATGTTCTTTCTGGTAGACTGGTAGAGAATGCCATATTGGGATTAAGTCCGCTATTTGCAGTGTAAAGCCAAAAAAGATTAAATAAATAGGTCTCTAAAAGTTGTAAAAAACGTATTGGCTACCAAGAATATCGCTCATGTATTGTATACACACTGTCAAGTAAAGGACCTACACACTTTACAATTGTATTAATTGCAAGAACACAATTTTTTTTTCATGTATAAAAAAAGGTGGCAAACCCGCCTAATGTTCCAACTGATGAAAAGCAGCTACCATAACTTAAAGACGCTTGCTATACTACCTCTCCTGTAGTGTTCTCCAGAAAAACTGATGTTCCTTACCTCTTCTAAAAAACAATGGCGGTGGCACTCCGTGAGTGCTGACAGAAGTGAAAACTCAAACTCCAAAAAAATGCTAACCTAAATGTAAACAAAAATAAATGCATAACTCATCTTAAGTAAATGAATAAAAATAAAAATGATATGCCTGTCGGGTTCGAATTCAAGACCTCATGCACTCTAAGGCGGGTTGAATTTGATGTATTAGACCAATGCACTACTAACGACGCTGGGCAAAATTAAAATATTATTTTAAGGCTTATTATGTCGTCGGTGTCGATCACGAGATAACGGTGCGAGTTGGTTTTTCACATCTCAAAAAATGACCAATGCCTAAAGAACTTTTCATTTCAAAAATCTGACTGAAGTTTTAGTTTTCTAGGTTGGTTATCTTAAGTCAAAAAATCTAAGTAACATGAACTTATAATTTTTATTATTTTTAAAGCATGTACTTGAACATGAACTTTTTTGACCTTTTGACCGATTTTTAATACCTATATTATTTTGTTAAATATTTTGAATAATTGATTTCATAGTAACAAATTCAAGAAAACGTTTGAATAAATCATACATTTGATAACGATAATATAAAATATCAACTGATAATACCTGGAGTTTGTGTAAATGATGCATGAGCTAAGCTTGTTCGATGTGAGTATTTTCTCCATTACTCGCAATAGTCAGCAAGTGTTGAAAGTTCATGTTTCGGTTTTGATTAGTGTTACCAGATCCATATTTTTTAGACGGGAGGTGTAGAGAATACTCCGGGATATGGTTGGCCAAATTAACTAAATAATCGGATTCATAAAATGTGACAATAAAACCGCAGCCCGTCAATAACATAAATAAATAAAAAATAACTTTGATAGAGTCTGTGCGGAAAGAGATTTAGATTGGAGGGCGCCCTATCAATACAAAACTTTGACGCTTTACAGATTGCTGGATTTGATTGCCAAATAAAAATCTTAAATTTAGTTCCGTTTTTCACCACGCTCATTCACTTTCCACACAGACTCTATATTAAGCTATAAACGATGGTTATCAAATCCTTGTAATGGCTATTATTAGCAATTTAAAACTAATGATTATAAAATAATTTCATAAAACGTAATGTAGATGAGGATACCTAATTTTGTATTAAGTTGGGTCAGTGAGTGTTGCTTGAACTTCTATAAGCTTTACATCATCCATAACAAACGAATAGTATATCATCTACTATGAAGTTATATATTATAGTGTAAGTAATCCTTCTTCATATTATTTATAGGTCGAGAAAAAAGGTGATCCACAATCGAAGAGCTCAAGCAGTTCTCAGGGGAGTCAAGAAGGAAGCCCGCAGCAGTCATAATTCCACCTTTAGAATATCCATAATCTTGTCAAGTTTATATTTTGCGTTATTACGTTATATAATGCTTCTCTGTTTAAGTTATATGCCGTTTCGATATTATGGAATATGGTTGAATCCAAACCATGATACATAATTTCTATATCACAGCGATAGTAATGATAAGGAAACAAAACACAATCTACCTCTACAATCTACCTTCATAAACAGCACAACTAAGAAGACTGATCAGTACAAATCCATAATTTAGTACAAAATTTTAAGTATGTATTTTTTATTGATAGAACCTTTAATAATTTAGTTTGCAAAGGTAACGTAAGTACAAATTTTATGTGTTCGAGTGTCAATATTTTTTAATTTACTTTTTATTTTAAAATGGTATTTACCCAAAGTTAAGTGTGTGCTTATTTGACTATTATTAATTTTGTTGCTATATTATATTATATCTAACTTAAAACGATAGTATATAGCCATTAAATTAGGATAAGAAGTTTATAATCTGGGCTATGAAAATATATTATACGGTTTCTAATCGAAAAACGACCAGGGACTTATTCTGAATGACATCAGGTAATTTCGAATACATTTAAATATTTTTTAAATTTTATGAAAATACTCTTTACTGTATCATTTTCTACGCTTCTGTCAAGTAAATGAATGTTGTTTTTATCAGTTTCATGTATTTTAAAAGCTTTATTAATACATAAAACTATTAGCTTCTACATTCCTTATCCATATAAACTTTAATGAATACAAAATGTTCACATTTTTCCATACATAAAATGTGTTGTTAATGGGGAACAAATTAAGTCTTTTACGCATTAACATCTATATATATAAAACTCAAGGTGACTGACTGACTGACATAGTGATCAAACCACTGGACGGATCGGCCTGAAATTTGGCATGCAGGTAGATGTTATGACGCAGGCATCCGCTAAAAAAGGATTTTGATCAATTCTACCCCCAAGGGGATAAAATAGGGAATGAAAGTTTGTATGAAACTTTGTCAATTTTAAACCGATCGGGCTGAGACTTTGCATGCAGGTATAAGAAGAATCATAGATGAATGTCATTGTGTATAATACAAGCCTGAGAACAAAAACTGTAGTCTACACTTCAGTTCTACACCGAAGCGAAGCGAGGGCGGACCACTAGTTATAAGATAAAGGTTTTGCTAATGTTTTTTTCAGTGTGATAGTTAAGAAAAATGAAAAGTTTAGAGTAGTGCCCTTGGTCGTTTCAGAGATTTAGTCAATTTTATAATAACAATCCAATTGGTAATACTAGTTCAATCAAGAATAATTATTATAAACAGATATTAATCAATAACTTTAATAATCATATTTAGATCAAACAAAGGACAAACATGTTTAGATAGCCAAATTATAAAGAAGAAATAACAAAAATATTTACTGTTCCATAAATTGAACGGACTACACATAAAGTAATAAAAATACTTAAAACATCTAAATATGAAAGATTTAAGAAATAATATTTTTTGCCAGGTTAACAAGTTATTATACAGATTTATGAATGATGCATAATTTGTTTTGTACGATTGAATTTTTCAACATTTCATTTTGTTTCATTTAATTTTTCACAACCAATCCAGGCACCGGATAAACCTCAGAGATTAACCATTGAGCTAGTCTGACATTTAACCTGACATTTTTTGGATTATGAAAATTTTTATTTTACACTCTTAGCTATTTCAGTACTACGAGTTAAAGCGATTCAGGTCGAAAAAAATACTTGAGAATAACAATTTGACTACAGCCCTAGGTGATTACAGCAAGGATTCAAAGTAGTCTAATGTCGATTTGCGTAAGTTTTTATTATTGTTTTGCAAAATGTACCTAAATATTAAACAAACAAAATTTATCGCTGCAATGGTGTTAAACCGAAATGGAAGTATTTTACAAAGGCGATAACTTTCGTTTACTTACCTTTTCAGCATCAAAACTTATATTATTTTTATCCCCCCAAAAAAATATATGTATAGCTTTTATCTACCAGGTGTGAATGATATATTTACGGAATATAATTATTAAAGTAAACGTGCCAAAGCCAATATGCAATTATTTCTTAATAAGTTGAATTAATCTCTTGTTAATTTTTTTCAGAAACAAAGAATTTATGAATGAAATTCAGCTAATATGCCATTTGCGATTTAAGTTTGCTCAAATACTTTATCATTAGTGAACTCATTTCAGAACTATTTGCACTTTGTGGTCAGCAGGGGCCGTACCATGAATTCTTAACTCGACCCAATTCCAATTGTTAATGTGAGACTATGATACGCATAGTAAAGCGACAGCTCCTTCTTCTGACACCGCATTTGGATCGCATTAGGTGTTCATGGTGTAGCCTCAGGTACTTAATTTTTATCGTTGACAACATTAAGTTAACGGTTTATTTTTTCTTAATTTTTTAAGTCGTAAAAACATTTTGCAATAATGCCGACTTTAGTTATAAGCATAAGTGACGAGGAGTTTTTTAACACTGCCTTACTATAATTCAAAATATTTTTTTACGAAACTGATTAATCTTCGGTAACTGTATTGTTTTTAAAATGTGTACTACTTTATTGAAAATTACCTCTTTTCTATCAGATTCACTCAGCCAATAGAATTCATGTCAAACAACAAACATGTTTTATGCTTCATTAGTGCAGCAAACTTATCATTTAAGTATTCATCAGAAATTTAATGGATCAAACAATTCATATCATTTGTATTATGATAATTTATTATCATCCTTAGTTATATTTATAATTGTTAGAAATTCTTTAGAAGATTAGGGTTTATAAGAGAGCCAAATAAATATTAATTTAAAATACTATCAACACTATTGTAATTTGCTTGTATTTTAATGTTAAGCATCGTTCATGCTAAATACACTATACACTGACATACTTTAGGAAATTATTGTAAGATTTAAAACTTCATTAAATATTAAATTCCTTTAACAGAACTCCATAAAAATAACATGTTATTCCAATCGTGAAAATGACAACTCACAGCATCGTATGAGCTTTCGTTTACATGCTAAGTTCGTTCGTAGAAATGAAAGAATGTTACACAAATTTCTTTTTTTTTTTAATTTACACTAGGGAATTAATATTACAGATAATAAGTTTGAACTAATGAGTTTGGTCTATGATTGGTCTGCTCAAAGTAGCAGAGATTACTAAATTTAATGCACGCATGTCACCATTCAGTATCCACCAAGCCAGCGTGATCAACGTCTAATCTCAGTAGATTAGGCGTTGATCACCTAGAATTGGCCAGGACCAATTCTAGGCAGATTATAATAATAATTTCTCTAAAAATTTTGGGAGATGTGAGTATATGAATAGTTCTTTCATAATATTGACGCTGGCGTACTAACCGTACACTCGCGTCAATATACCTGGTTATGTTAAAAGTCTAGACTAGAACATCGAAGAACGTTCTCAAAACATAATAAATAAGTAAAAAAAAAAAATGATTAAAGTTCTGTCCAAAAATGCGAACGTCTACGAATGTTGTTAAGTGGCCAATTTAATTTAGTATAAAAGTTATATGTAAAAACTAAAAAATATAGGCCCAAGCACGAACTTTGACAGATCCGTAATCATATCGTCAGCGTCAAATTTGCATGGAAGGAGCCAGTTTGTTCTTACATCCGGTAGTTCCGGGGCTCTGCTTAGTTTTCATAGAAATGTTGACGGTGCGATATGGCAAAGATTTAATTTTAATCTTCTAGGGTTCCCAAGTCTGTATGTATATAAAACTTTTGTAAAAAATATCTAATGGAAGATGAGAACCGCGTGAAAATCAGTTCAGGTAGTTTTGAGATCACCATATAGGGTGATCTCAAAACGACCCTAACTAATAAACACACAGGCGGAATGGGACATTGCTTTGTATGATGTTTGGTTTGAACGATGCCGTAAGATATTCAAGTAAACATCAGCAACATAAAATATTGGAATGGAAATAATTTGTTCAAAACACATCACAAGGAAACGGTTGATAGTGTTTTTTTATTGTTATAATTACTGTTAAAAAGTAGACATAATGATATGGTTGACCATCATATTTAAACATGATTAAGAATTTTAAATAAAATACGGGTTTTTAGCATTTCAGTTAAATTAGTGAATACATAATGTAATTATTTATAAGATTTGTAAGGAAGACTATTTGAAAACATCTACCTCATAATTTAATAACGTTAAATAGAGTTTATTCTTAAGTTAATTATCATTTATAGATTTTAGAATTTACATTTTTAACTATCTCTTCTAAATAAATGTCGAAGTTCTGGCTGACTGTATTTCTTATGTTTAGAGTTTAATTTTGTTTTTTTTTTATTATTCGAGAAAAATAAATATTTAAAGTATATATTTTTTTATTTGTAGATAAATTTTATATTATATATCTACTGGACATTGTCGGACGTCCAGCAGATGGGAAATAGTGAAATTTATTTATTTTTAAAAGAAAAACATTAAATCATTAGTAATTTTTCAACTGACGAAAAAAGCGGAGGAGGTATATATTTTTTTATGAGATCATACATAAAAAATATATATACGTGAATATAGATCTGATCATACATACAAGATTAGGTACGCTTAACTTTTTACACAGGAGCCCGATCTTGATAATTCTTTTTTTTATTGGAAAGGGTATACTCCGAAGATGCTCTCACATACATTTAGAAAAATAATTCCAACTCTAACAGTAGGAAAATAGGGGTGATTGTTCACTCACAGATTTTGATGCTGAGTTGTATATTACAAAAATTTTAGCCAAAAAAAATTACAAAATAAAAACTACTTAACAAAAAAAAGCAACCGCCGAAAAAGCTGAAATAAAATAATAAATCTTTGTTTATCTATAGTCATATTAATATTTGGAGTCGGTGGCATGCATGCGATAGATATGAGTTTCCATTTACTACTTCGGTTGGCATAACACCGACTCCCATTATTAATTTGACTATGGGGAACGTGCAGGAACTACACAGGTAGCAGCACTAAATCGACAACAGACACACTATACGGATAATAAAGAAAACTTATCGGACCTGTCGTCGTGCTTTTAATTATGTAAACAAAATTACATTAATTATATTATTTTCGAATATGATAAAAGTTATAAAATAGGGATTTTGGTCTATCAATAATGATCGTCAGCGTGGCCAAATATGTCAAAGAGTCAAAAGATCTTCTTGGCGGACCATGT